TTATGTGCTGTGACAGTGAATCAAGATACTTTTCTCTATGTAGGTAGAAGGAATCCTGTACTTTTATGCTGAGTCTTCAGTCATGTTTCTGTTTTTTGCCTTCCACAGTTTCTCACACAAAAGCTGCACTGGATCCTTGAGGAGAGACCTAAAAGACATTCACCTCAGCACCACTCTTTGAGGACTTTGGATAAAAATGGAAAAGCAGAGCTAAGACAATAGAAAATTACATCATTCTGTATTGAAACAACCAAAGCAATGCTATCAGATTCAGTTGTTAATGTGTAGTATCAGTAGTAAAAAGGACTTGTAACATTTCTGTGTATGTGTTTTCACATGACTGCCGAATGAAGGATGGCTGTAGGCAGATTGTAGCAGAACATTCACTCTTGGTACATAAGCTACATTTCAAAAATAAATCAGGGTTTTTCCTTAAACTTACACTTGAATTCTAAAAGTCATTCGAGCAAGCTTGTACTTTGATTGCAGCTCTATGATGTCATGTGCTATCTGTTTCCATCTCAGCATGAAGGTCTGTGTATATTTTGGCATATTGTTCAATTGCTGTGTATCACCAAGTTAGGCAGTCTAGTCTTTCTGCATGGATTAAGTTATTAAAAGGGAAGATCAGGCGCTAGTTGTTTATCATGCGAAACACATCTGTCTTGTAAACTTTTTTAAATACAGAAAAGACTTTATTAAACAAATGATGCTAGCTGAGTGCCTGTTGGTCTTTGTATATTGCATCCCTAAGATACTGCAACGTGTGGCATGAATGACACAGCAAAAGTAATACCTCTTAGTGCAACTCATTCATCTGTCGTTTGGAAGCTTGGAAGTCAGGTTGCTGCCCTAAAATGTTTGCTCTTTGCAATGCAGTAAGTCCTTTTGATCTTTCATGGTGATTGTGAAAATCTGTCGGCAGATGCTCCGTATGGTGCATTGTGCAACTGTTTGTATTCATGTCAAGTTAATCAGGGGCAGAACAGCTTTTGGAAGCTGTCAGCAAATGAGTCAGGATGTGGCAGGCTGTGAAGTTATTCTCCTTCAGGTATTAAAAGTCAAGGGAGTTGCCAAACTGAGGCAGAGAATACAAATGTCTGTGAGGAGGAATATGTTTCAGAGGTTGTAGAGGTAGAGGTTGTGTAGGTTTTATAAAGTGCAATCTCTAGGGCTGTCTTAGTCCTATCATCTTCCCAAGCCCCCTGCCATGAGCAGGATGCTTGCTGTACAGCTCCTTAAAAGATTTTGAGGTCAACTCACTGATAATAGCTGATTGGAGAAGCACAAGGAGACCACATGGTCTATTCATTCAGGGAACGCAGGGAGCCAAGCAGCAGGTCCCCACTGCTCTGGCTGACAGCCATCACTTTCTCTCTGTTTAAACAAAGCTGGAGCTTGCCTCCCTTGAGAAGTATTTGTGATGTTATATTATGTGACTTAGATACTCACTATCTGTTCCATTTTTTTCTTCTTGCTTATAGCAAGCTGTAAGCAAAAAACTTTCCTGTGGTTTGGGGGCTTGCTTGGTTTCTAGTGCCGTGGTGAGTTTTTGTTGGCTGTTTGTGAAATAGATTAACATCTTAGTTGGAAGGTATATTGTTTGTTTTTTTCCTCTCCCTCCCCCCCAAAATGCTGAAAATGACCTGATTAACAAAAAAGCATGTTTATTTCATATAAACATTCAGGGACAAAGTTATGAATGATAAGTTTCTGCTTGTTGTTCCCTTTTCTACAGATTTAGACTTACAGTCTTCATTTTCCTGTCCTGATTCACAAAGCAGGGAGTTTTACCGGTGTTCGCTTTCATGTGATTTATGGGCTAAAGTCAGAAGATGATCATCAAAGAGGTCTGTGGACAGTTTTTGCTAATTATAATAAAGCAGCTCTTCTTCCAGGGACCCTGCAGTGACTGATCTCCAGCTGTATGCTGACTGCCCTCGGGCCAAAGACCTGCAGGTAGAGCCTGGATATTTTGGGGAGAACCCCAAAATCAAATGGCCTGCAGCTGTTTGTTCTGGTGATAATGCTTCGCAGATGCTGATGGAGTCTTACAGATTCTTTTCCGTTTTCACCCGTGCTGGTGCTGCTTTCTTTGCCTTGCACTGTATTGTGATGTGAGGTCAGGTGAAAAACATTATCATCAGTGTGGAACCTCAGAGTGCTGTGAAAATTATGAAGATGCCAAACGAGGGTCAGTCAGTGTTACAGACTTCAAGGCACAGGATCCACCTCATTCTAGCGTGGCTTTGGTTATTTACAGTTTGATGTGTTTTTTACAGCTTCTGTACACTTACAAGCTGCTCATACTTTAGCATGCAATTCTGCCTTCACAACAAATACACACATGAAAGTACATTAAATATCCTTGGTATGATTTCTGCAAACACCTGGTAGTGTTTCGGTGTGAGAGAAGTCTGAGGAACATTGCATTGGTCTTTTTATTGAAATTGAAAATTTGAATTTCCCAGCAGGCATCTGGGAGAGAATACAAATCTGGATACAAATATTCTCTGTAACTTCTGGTTTAAAGAACTAGCTAACAGGGAATGGCTGCCGATCATTCTCTGTCAAAATCAAAATAGTTGCTCTGTATGCTATAGGTCTTGTTTTCCTTTTGACAGCATATTCTCAACAGAAAACCCCGTGATAACTGGAATTTACGCTGTGAGTCCTTTGAAAACGTACTGCTGATTTTCATTGTTTGTTGGTATGGAACTGTTGAGTTATGGCCTGAACCACTGATTGAGCACCTGGGGAAAGGACTGGTCAGCCCTGGGAGCACAGGTGAAGGCAACTCAGCTGTGTGAGCAGGAGTGGAGCCTGGCTGCACCTCTCTTAGATCCCATTTAAGGGCTGACTGCCACTGGGGAAGGATCTCTAGCAAGAGATCCTTCTTCTGTGGAGTCTTTTCTGTGAACCTACATCTTCCAATAGAGGTGAGCATTCCTTCCTTGTTTGTTTCTTTTTCTGTTTTCACTGTGATAGCCTTTCCAGCTGTAATACCGACTGTAACACTGCTGTAACCAGAGAGGATAAGAATTATTACGATAATATCCTATTTCAAAAGGCATTTTGCAAATGTTCAATTTAGATACCAAATAGATAGTTACATTGCTACTTTGAGAAAGTGTGCAAGAAGATCAACTCTGAACCTTATGATTCCACATGAAAGCTTCTTGGATAAGTGCTTAATGCTACTCTCTGTGCAGTAAGTAATGTGCTTTGCCATTTTGGATCTCATTAAGTCTTCGTTAAATTGCTGTGTTAGATCAGTAGATTTATTCCTGCTTCTCCTTTACAAGCATATAGCTTCTATTTGTGATGCTCTGGCTCTGCATCCCCTGACGCTTCTCCTGGAGCAGGCCTTCAGTAGGTGCCAGGTGGCTGCTTCTTCCTTGGTCTGGTCAGCGTGCCCCTGGGAAGCTCCTAAGCTCCCTTCTTCGTGCCTCTTTGCCTCCTCTCTGGTCACCAGACCCTGGTGACGGGCAGTAAAATTGATCTTTTCCTATGGCTCAAGTAACTAATTCATGAGTACTGTTCTTCTTTTGTAGTGGGATTTATTTTACTTAAAATCCATTGATAGCAGATTGTTCAGTACACCTTGGAAACTTAGGTAAAACATCTCAGCTGGATCACATTTGATTACATAGTTCTGCTTGGCTGCTTTAGAAATGCTAGGAAAACTGAGGTGTAACCTTTAAAACTGTTTTGACTCTTTCTTGTTATCCCACTTACCTGTGCATTCTTCAAATCTACTCATCTTAAAGTTGTTCTTTCTAACCTCCTAGTTCAAGGGAGGTTTTTGGTAATGTTTCTTATGCTCTATCCTAATGGCTTGATTATATAGTTATATTCTTTAGAAAACTCAATTTAAGTGCTATCAGGTTTTAAAAATTTGAATGATCTTTTGAATGTCTTGGATTTGAAAATTCTTCAAATAGTTTCTGTATGAGAAAACACAATCTAAAGCTTTTCTGCCTTCTTTCAAGACAACTCAAAAACTGGTTCAGTAAAGACTGCAGCAGTAATGTGTGATTGTGTGTCAGTAATACCTGACTCAGTAACTTATTGTACGACTTTTCAGAACTAAAGTCTAATGACTTCCACAAGCAAACAAACCTCATTTGTATTGTGGGTTGTCAAGATTGTAAACTATGATTTTCATTGTGAAGCAGTGATTAATATTTTAGTAAGATAGATGTGGGATGGAGATTTTGAGTTAAAAAACAAACAAACAAAAAAAACAACGATGACAAAACAACAGGTTCAAATTTGTATTAGTTATGCCACACATGAGAAATAAGTTAAAAATAAAATCTAAACAGTGAGACACAGATTCTCAAAGTCAGGAGGAATAAATAATAACAGGTACAGTGTGGAAGAAAACCTGAGTAGAGCAAACACAGAAACACCAAATGTGTACTCTTGGCTGTTGCAGCTGCTTGTGCAGGTGTGATCACTTCAACAAATACTGTGCTCACTATTTAGAGCCTGTGTGATGCCACGTTACACTCTGCTCTCTACTGTTTGTTATGGAAGTTTTGTTGTTTTCTTTCCTAACGTTGTCTATGACAGGTTAGCAGGAAAGCTCTAAGAGTAGGAGAAGCTACTGGGGATATAAATAGCAAGGGCAGAAACAAACCAGTCTGTGTTCTTTGTGGAGTGGTACCTGAAGCCCTGAGTAGGGGTATGCGTTTATGTGAAGTCATAAGGCTCTCTTTTCACAGTATCCCTTGACTGTCTCTACAAGGAGGTGTGAAGGTTAATGTCAGCACTTGTTATGTTAATGGTAGATTTACATGATTGCAAAAGAGCTCTTCTGATCAAAACAGGTGGAAGAGCACAACTTCCTATCTCGGTTGGGTAGCAATCTGCAGAATGATGCTTTTTTTCCTCAAGATATTCTACTGACTTTATTCTACCCCACTTGTCTGTCATTGTTAGAGCTCAGTGAAAACTAAAAATGATGGTTCTCAATATATTCTAGTGCATTTTTTTCTTGGTAGCAATGAATAATTTAATCTTTCATATTGGAAAATCAACACAGCTTCTGTGCTGGAAAGACTGCTAAGCTAAGAGTTTTACATTCACAGTTTTTAATATTAGTAACAAAAAGACATGGTTTTGGTGTCTATTTCAATGCCAGCAATGAAATAGGGCAGCCTGGTGCTGTGGAACCTATCTGCCTTCCCTTCAGTCAGCCTCGTCATCATTGGGCTTCTCTTCAGAATCATCACTTTCATATTCCTCATCCTCATATTGGAAAGCACCCTCAGCTTCAGGGTTAGACTGACTCTCCTCTTGCTGCTCATGGGACCGATCAGACTGAGAGCTGGGTCTTGACCCATCCTCCTCCTCTTCATTCTCTTCCTCTAGGGTATGTCCAAGCAGAACGCCTGCCTTTGCTTCCTCCTCCTCCTTTTCCTCTTTCTGCTCTTCTTCTTCACAGTGCTGGTTGGAGGTGGGGCTGGACCTGGTCTCCTCTGCACAGTGAGGTTGCTGACCTTGAGGGCTGGCTTGTGTCTCTTCCTCTTCCTCCCTCTCAGCGGATTCAGCATCCCAGCTGGGGGTTCTGATGCCTGTTCTCTTCTCTTCCTCAAAGGATTGCTCAGATTGAGGACTGATGCTGTCTGCTTCCTCAAATAATTCCCTTTCTTCCACTATACTCTTGATGGCTCTGTAAAGACAATTTGTATGTGATTTGTATTCTCAGGTGAAATGCTTTCCAGTAGGTTTTAAAAGACTTACATGCTCAGGTAACCTACAGCCAATCCTGGCAGTCTTGGCTGGGGTAAAACTGGGAAAGAGGGAACACTGGACTCTGCTTTTATGATAGAAAGTAGCAGTACTGCTTATATATTTCTTTTTTTCCATTTCCTTCCTATCATAATACCAAAATGGATATTGAGAAGTATTTTTTAAGGCTTGTATTTAAAAAAAAAAAAAAAAAAAAAGGTAATGCAGAATGAAATGATTTCTTAGCAACCTTCCTGAAATCTTGGTTAAGGGAACAAATTAAAAATGTTACTCTTAATTGTTCTTTGAAGTGCATGGTGTATAACATATCCAGTGCTCTTCTCTGACTCACAAAACAAATAGTTAATTCAGGAAAAAACAGTGCAGGAAAGCTAACCACGCACACTAAAATATTTACTTGGGAATACTGCAAATAATTTTCTCAGCATTAAAAATGGCTCTAATTACTAGGTATGCAGTGGCAAAACCAAAAACCTTCTGTGATCTCTACCTTTCTTTGGCATCAAAATCTTCAGCAATGTAGCACTCTAGCAAGTTAGTTGTTTGTCCTTTCTTTGAAACAAAGTCTGGGCATACCCCCAGAGCTCTCAGTCTGTTGGAATAATATTTTTCTGCAGCTATTCTGGCATTACTCTGTAGGAAAAACACAAGGGTTAAGTATGAGCTAAATGCCTATCTTCAGATACTTTTGCTTATATTAATACTGTTTCATTATTTGCATGTGAGAAGTTAAATCATTTACTGCAGCTAAGAATGGCAAAACTACTTGAGAACTTTATAGCAGATCTTCCTCCCTTTTCTGTTCAAATGCAGTTTGCTCCCTACATCCACTGGTAACAAAGATCTGCGGATACTGTATACTGCTATTGAGGGAGCGGGGAGAAGATGCAGACCTGAAACATCAACTGTGTTCTTCCTAGGGCTGTTTCTCTCCGTGGGAGCTGCTGCTCTGAAACATGACATTGATTTATTCTCTTACAGCACTGTTTGACGCACTGCATGAATCTGAATCTCTCTGTGAAGCTGAGTGGTAAGCTCTGCTCCTCCGAGTAACAGCTGGGTGAGGAGGCCTTGTCCTCCAGCCTTCATGCATGCTCCGGCCCTGTAGTGGGCCAAGAAACCCACCCAGAAGGGATGAGAGAACTGGGAGGAATGGGCCGTCTATGTCCTGCTGCCTCTCTATTCCAAAAGCAGTCAGGGAGACAGAGATGAAAATTCTGTCTCAGCTTTACAGCAGACATGAGGAATGCTTGAGTTCTTCTAGTTTTTCTCCCAATTTAAACCTCTCATTTTTGCTGTAAATTTGTTTGACTCAGTGCTATGTGCATGTATTATAATTGAACCAGAGGATGTCATCTGATTTCCTTGTGCAAGCATGCCATGAATGCTTAGACACAGAAAAGTAATTTATAGGGAGATGGAGCAGTAGAAATTAAAATGGACAAATACTAGCCTAAATAACATCAAATAACTTCTAACAGCGTTTGACTAAAAGTTCCCTATACAGTAATTGGAGATGAGATTAAGAAACAAACAAGATAACCTGAGTTACTCTTTCCAAGAGCAATGGCCTTTGCTTTACTCTTTCTTCCATTTCTTGCAACTCTTGCCAATACTCCTGCATTCTCTGCTTTGAGGAGTTCCTAAAATAAACACAGTACAACAGAAATCAGTTGTCTATAGTACAAGAAGTACTTTCTTACAGTGAAAAGTTGAATTGCTCATGACAAGTATGGTCCTGGTTAAAAATGCATAAGATATATTATCTTGTGGTGGAATTAAGTTTACTGTCTCATTTTTATGGAATGATAGAATGATTTGGAAGGTGCCTGAAAGCCCACCCAGCCCCAGCCATGGGCAGGGCTGTTTCCCCCAGCTCAGGTTGCTTGGGGCCGCATTCAACTTGGCCTTGAGCACCTCCAGGGTGTGTATGGGCAGATGTATGGGCAGCTGTGCCAGGCCCTCACCACTGGAACATCAGCTTGCTTGGAATACTGATGGACAAAGCTATTTCTGAAGTTGTCCTGCCCAGTGAGGCCAACAGGGGCTGCCTGAGTTTAGTTTCTTAACTTACATTCTTAACTTTCACATTTCTGCCTTCCCCACCTCTTCCCACATTGTCTCTGAGTTTCTACAGTAGGGCTGTGCATTAAGGCAGGACAGTCACCATTCTGAGGGAGTGAACTTTACTGTTATTTGTTTGTTCTCCCAGAAGAGCCCTTACATTCATGTACCTCATTACCCAGCCTGTGCTGCAGTAAGCATTGTCAAGTTGAGCACTTACGCCATCCTTAAACCATCAGCACTAGGGAAGTAGTTGTGCTTTGTAATAGTGTAATACTATATGCAGAGAATAATTAATTGCAAGTGTTTTACTATGCTCCTAAAATCTGATCAGATACTGTGATGTGAGGTTTGCTCTTGAATGAACTTAAATCCATCTCAAATGATTCTGTGGAAGAAGAAAGTTGTGCGAAGCCATGCCAACACCTGCTAGTCTCACCCTGCAAAGATGTTTGGTAATTCCTCTATCCTTCTTCTGTGCTGTTTTTTAATCTTATTTTCTTCTTCAGTTCAATTGTCAATTTAGTGCTCGTGTTCCAGACATGGAGCAGGGAATCATGTACTGAGAGGTGTTAGAATGGGCAACAATTCCCAGCTGAGATTTGGCCACACTTATTTGTAACGACCTGTTTGTGCAGTGTATCAGGGATGTAACTATATAAACTCAGACTCTGTTTTTTTTTCTTTAACATTGTATGCTTAACATACAATGAAGCCAGAGAGGTTCAGGATTCAGGGAATGCGATGAAATACCTGAATGCCTTTAGTTTGGATTCAGAGACCTGAGCGAGGCTCTGATGGGGGTCATTGGCCTCAGCCCCAGTCATTACAATTTTCTGCAGTTTTTTTGTTCTTTGTTTCTGCTTTGTTCTGTTTCTTTTCTGTTGTTCTTCCAGCCTTCTCTTTTCCTCATGTGAATTCCTGGGTGGAAAAATAAACTAAGGCTGAATTTGTTTGAAATCAAGCACAAGGTTTCAAAGGAAGCTTTGGCAAAGGAAATTTGAAATATTTAAAAAAAAATATTAAAAAATGGAGGAACAGGGAGGGGGGATGAAAATGGGATTGATATAAATGGGTAATATGTGCCATTGTAAGGGATTGGGACATATCCTGAGAAACTGCATCCGTTTCTCCCTTTCCTATGGACGTGTGCAGAAATGTGCATTACTGCTTCTAGGGAAATCCATTAGTAAAGTCCTGCATTTAGTCTAAGGACATAATGATAGTATACAACTGAATATAATAAGTCCCATATTCACCGCATGAAAGAATTAACTACACCTGTAGAAGGACAAAAGAATTCTCTCTAGGTGTTTATAGAACACAGAGCATCACTGCAGCAGTCACCTTAGGGCCTGCAGCCTTCGTTGTGAAGCTTGTGTGACTCTTGGCGACTTGGATTCTCCAGATCCCAAGAGAGGTGAATTTGCACTCGACTGTCTGGTTTGGGGTTTGCGCCTTGGAGAGGCGTATGGCCAGCGTGTTTCTTTTAGCCTTTCTTCATCCTCTTGAATGTCTCTCAAAACCTTCCCCTTGTTCGAGGCAATGTACGGAGTGCGGAGATGGAACGGCTCACAGACCGTGAGGTGTTTCACCTGCTGCTTCTGCCGGAGCCGTTTCTGAAACTTCTGGTGTAGTCGGTCAAAATCTGGAACTCTGGGTTGGATCTTGGGTTTGTGCTCTGTTTCCTTTGGTTCGGCACACTTGTGTTTCTTCTTCTTGTTGACATCCTTGGGAGCCAGCCTGCTGGTGGGCAGAGATGCATTTCGCAGCAGCTCCTCAGCTCTCATTCTAATCCGGATTTCTCTGTACAGCTCTTCCTCCTGTAGCTTGTCTCTAACCGATGGGCTATAAACATATCTGGGAACTGGTTTTGCTTTGAATGGTTTTGTTTTCTTTTCAGGTGTGGAAAGGTCTCTTAATTGCATTCTTCTAATTTCATCCCTTTGCTTCTCTCTTTCAATGAACTTAAATGGCTTCTGAGAAGCCAAGAGCCTGATTTTGCTCCTCTCCTTCACAGACTTCCTGCGCTCCTCATTCCTTTGCACAATTTCATGGTAGAGTGGCAGGAAGACTGCAGCGGGCACTGGAGTGGCTCGGAACTTTTTCTGACACTCTGCTTCTTCCTCCAGCTGCTTCTTCAGTAGGTTATTTTCCATTTCAATCTGCGACTTGGATTTGACATTCTGTTCTTTTTTTCTGGCTTCTCTAATTGTCATCTGGAAGGGCTTGGGCACAGTGATTTTTGGTGACCATGCCTTCTGCTTCCGTGTTGTCCTGGAAGCTGCTGCAGTGGGCAGGCTGTGCTTCCTGGGAGGAAGGTAGTCATCCACTGAGAAGCCATCCCACATCCTTGCAATCCGTTCCTTAGCAAATAGTAATGATCTGGTTTCACTACAGCTGTCCTCAGATGATAGTTCTCTGTCGGACCCACCAGACACAGCCGAGCCTAAGGGATCGCTTAAGCTGGAGTCAGAGAAGGATCTGGGCAAATTTAGAGGCTGATATGTGCTTTTCTCCCAGGTTGGCCTTTAGAAAGGGGGGAAAAAGAGAAGTAGGCTTGAATCCATTCCAACATTGATTCAAAGGCAGTAATCTGTTTTCAGTGCCCTCACTAAAGGGAAGAGTGCTTGGAGGGTAAGAGAAGACACCAGATGGTACAGACACCAGATCACTGTTACAAAGGAAATCCAGGCTGAGAACAAGGCAAGGCACCGTGCTCTACTGAACACACTGACCATATTTCTGAGGTTTGCACACTTGTTAGTCTGACAGCATACTAGCAAGGTGAATAAGCATTATTAAAACTGAAGGAACTTTTTTGTAATTATCTATTTACAGGAAAGGGGGAGAGCAGCAGTTCCCAGCTGCAGTACATCCCTGCCTACCGCTGTCTGCAAAGATCCTCCAGACCAAAGGTACCGCAAAACTTACCTACAGCAGACCTTGGAAGTAGCACTGTTAGCGTTGTTCCTCTCCAAGGGCTGCACTCCTTGTAAATACAGCTTGTTCCGATACATGCTTTCTAATTTTGCCATTGTCTCCAAGTGGGCATTCTTCAACTCTTCCAGTTTCAGGTAATACTCCTGGTTTGAGCTGCCCAGCTTGGAGCAGCCCATCTCTGTGTCACAGCCTGGGGTGAGGGGCTGCTCGCTGCCAGGGCCTGGCTCTGCACCCAGCTCCCCCTAGGACAGAGGAGGGATCAGTGTCAAGCTTTCTGACTCTGAGGAAAGGGGAATGAGGTTTTTAGCGCTGCTTCATTTAATTGTCTCATGAATTAAACACTACAGCTGAATTTCATATCTATTACCTATGTGCAGGCTTTAATGCACACTGCATGGAACAATCTTCCTGCACAGTGATTTATGGCTTGAGACTGCTGTTTAAAGGGAGTTAAATAACAAAGTTTTTCTCTGTAAGCCCTTATACTTGTATCGGGAAATAAGATCCGAGAGGATTTTTTGGAAGGAAAAAAACCTTATCTTGCTTAGAACGCAGCTGTAGAACAGCCTAAACCGCCCCCCCTCCGCCACGGTTCTCCGCCGCCCGTTTCCATAGCCACTGTAAAATGAAGCCCTTAGCTGCTCCGCGTAAGCTTCTTACGGCTCTGCGGCCGGCCCGTCTGCTCCGCAACCCGCCCGGCCCGGTCCCGGCGCTCCCTCCGTACCTGCGCGCTGTGCGGCGACTCCCGCTGGGATCGGGCAGCAGGCGGCCGGCAGTGCGGCTGCACGGCAGCGCGGAGGCGGGCGGTGGGCAACGGCCCCGCGCCGTGCGGAGCCTCCATGGCCGCGCGCCGCCGCCGGCGGAGGGTGGAGAGGCGGGGCCGGACCGCGTCGGGCGGGGAGAGGCGGGGCCGCTCGGCCCGGAGCCTCAGGGCCCGGTACCGCAGCACGCTGGAGGAGGGGGCGGTGGCGGTGAGAAGGGGCGCGGCTGGTTCCGCCCGTCGGTCACCTCCCTTTCTAAAGCGTTTGTGCTCGAGATGAACGGGGATTAATGAGTGCGGGTACACTGGGGTCGGGAGTGGTCTGCCACCTCTCCGAGGAGGCATCGCTGAGCACTGGGCCCGGATAGCGCCATGGGCTGGCGTGCACGTGGAACAGCTAGAGGGGAGGGGGCAGGGGGGGATGAACACACTGTAACTGGAAGGAAAGCCCAGATCAGCTAACAGCTGGGGGCTTGAGGCATGATAAAAGATGGAGCATGGCTGTAGTAAGCTGCTGTATGAATTGACAGTGATATGGAATGCTAATCTAAATGCTAGTGTAATTCAAACTACAGAAGTTGATCTACTTTCTAGTGAATCATAAAACAAAGACTCAAGTAGACTAGTGCCTGTTTATTGATAAACTGCATTTCCTTTTTGAAACCAGGAACTGTATTAAATTAACGTGACAAAAGTACATAAGCCTTGTGGACTTTTTAAGACAATTCACACAGGCGCTTTTGGTGAGGAAGCTGCAGCTCAGACTACAGCTGAGGAGCTCCAGACCACAGTCCCAGCTTCCTTGATTCAGCTTACCGCGTGTTCACCTGCAAGAGCACAACAACACGTGTAAGAGGTCCACACATTAAATATACAAGCACATTAAATACACCAGCACAAGTACATTAAATATATAAGCAAAAAAAGTAATTGTTAGTCACTGTAACATCTTGCTTTAAAGTACTGCTTTATACCAACAGCAGCTTCACTTTCTCCTAAGCCCTTATGAGAGAACCAAATGGTATAAATAGCACGTAAAGTAAGGAGGAAATAGAATGAAACAGGTGATCACGTAATCTGTGTTTCCACACATTCTTGCATTTATTAAAAATAAACACCAACGCTACTCACCACATCATCAATCTTAAGAATACTGCGCACAGTTTCTGTTGCCAGAGTCAGTGCACTCACAGACACGAGCAGTGGCTGGACTACCAACTCCTCCAGGATGTTGGAGATGCCACCCTGCAACAGAAAGCTGCTTTCACTTTGTGCAATTGAGCCTGCAACTACATTTAACAGAATCCTGAAAGTGATGTTGTGCTAAGCTAGACTACCAACTAGTTTGCACTCCTTGGTTCCTAACAGGAATATTACTGTAAAGGTCTGCTGCTGCTGAGTATTTGAGATATCCACTCAAAATGAGCCAAGAGAAAAACCACCCATAGCTGTTATCAGTTCAAATGTAGTGACAATGCACAAACACAAAGCTATCCCACTGTGCTACTCCAGATGTGTGAGCACCTTCCCCTGCAGACACTACCCCACGACCCTTCTAACCAGACTTGTCTTTAAGTTCACTGTGAAAGACTTCAGCTGGAAAAATGCTTTTGAAGAGATACCTGCAGGTACTTGAATGCCATGGAGGCAGAAGAATCTGCTATTACCAATACTCAGGATAAGCTGCTACAGGCTCAGACAGCAAGCTGTTATTTCTCTCAACACTAGTTCTAGTAAGAATTTTGTTCTCTGCATTTTAGACTTAGGCAGTATATTTTCCTTTTAATACCCTATTTATTTAAGCTACGGAGTTCTATATTCAGCTTCCTCATTACCTTTCTGACATTAATGCCAGCTGTTTTCTCTCCTTGAGCGTGTCTGTTCCTCAGCTCTGTTACTGTTGAGATAGGATTGAGACCTGCGTTTTCAGCCAGTGTAGATGGTATGACTTCCAGTGCATCCCCATAGGCACGCACGCAGTACGAGTCCATGCCCCTCAACGTGCGGGCGTACTCGTTGAGGCGCAGTGCCAGCTCTATCTCTGGTGCTCCACCTCCTGCAATTAAAGCTCTGGGGACAGAAACTGAAGTCAAATCTCAAGGTACGTAAGCGCCAAAGAGCTTTCCACATTAATATACTAAATTATTCCAGCCAAATGAACACGTTACCTTTTCTTAACTAAGCATCTAATGACACACAGGGCATCGTGAATTGAACGCTCAGCTTCTTCTAGAACAAGCTTGTTGGATCCACGTACCACAATGGTCACTGTTTTTCCAGGGTTTGTACAGCCCGTAATCTAGAACCGAGCCAAGCAACAGAAATGAGAGAAAAGCCTTCATCTGCTGTGCGACTTCAGTAACAGCACTGAGGTCTGCAGAGCAAAACCACCATGCTTCGCAAGCCAGAGGCTAGGCAGGGATGACAGGCAGGTACTTTAAGGCCTCTTAGTACTTACGTTCTTACTTTTAAGTTAGTAGTTGTTATTAAAAGAATTGGCAAGGGTTAAGAAGGAATTAATCTGCCGCTCACTCACCTTTATTAGTTTTCCAGAACCGTTCAAGTTGACTTCTTCTGCCAGCTCAGCAGAGCCCAGCATGTCAGGAGTAAACTGGTCAATATGAGCAACAGGCTTAGTTCCAATGGTCTGCAAAAATAACAGTAGAAAAAGAAATCTAAGTATACTTAATCTGAACTGCAGTGTCAGCAGGCATGCTCTACAGTTGTACCTCAGTAAAACTCAGTAACAACTGCTGCTCTTACATCCACCCCTTCTCTTTGCGAAACTGGGACAGCTCAACAGAACTGGAGCATCTTTCAGTAAAATATCTTGTCTGCCTTTACACTGCATTCAGAATGTGAGATTTGTTGAAGTGTGAAAAAACTGGCACTGGTTGGGTACTCCAGTTTTGGTGTTGTTTTATACACAACTGTTACTTTAGTAAACATTTATGTAATTCACTTTACCTTACATATAAACTCAATGTCTTCTCTTTCTATGTCTTTAACCACCATGATCTTCATTTTGTTCAGAAAGTGCAGGGCGAGGTCACTAAGAGCATCCCTAAAAAACAAGAGATGAGTACTCAGTCCAAACTTATTGTAATAACTGGGTGAACTGCATTAGCAGTAATGCTGAAGTTCTTCAGTCTACCTCACAGGGAAATAATTAAATCCAAAATATATTTGTGACAGCACTAGCATTGGTTGTGAGTGACAGACACAATCTGTCACTCTGCATCAACGCAATTGCTGATGTTTGACTTCTAGTTTCCAGGACCGCAAACGATTCCAGCTGTTCCCCAAATGACCACAGCAGGTGAGCAAACCAGCACTGACGTACCGCAGAATAGACTTCTGAATCAGCAGCACATTGCATCCAGCCTTCTTAATTTGCTTAACTAAGTTTAGAATGTAGGCTCTCTCTTCACGCAGTACTCTGTCCATTTGAGCGTAATCAGAAACAACAATTTGGTTGTCCATCTATTAAAAAAGAAACATCAAGCATCATGAACAACTGCTCGTTTTACAAGCATCAGGATACGTTCTGTATGTTCTTTAATAGCCTGTGATTTAAAGTACAAACAGATTACAGTAAGATGTACTATCAGAAACTGTTTTAGGAGAAGTACTGGACTTCTGAACTATTCTTTCTTATGCCAACTACAAATTCTTTATATTTAAGAGTTATGAGTAATATAAGCTCTTTACTAGCAGGCTTTCACTATAGCTGTGGAATAGAGCTGACATTACTATATCTTAAACAAGATATGTGTTTTGTCATTACATTTACATTTTTCAAGAACTACAGCAAAAGTTCCCACTTTAGTTCCAGTTAAACTTACATCTGTCTTTGGAGCAGAGAGGCAGAACTGAATTAGGCCAATTTTGGCTTTTTCCACTCTAGTTACACCTGTGTTTGCCACCTTCTGAGTCAGGACTAGTCCTTCCACCAGCTCACAATCATCAATTGTTCCTCTGCAAGCAAAAACAATCCATAACTCCAGTATTTTGAGAAGCAAATTCCAAAAACACATAGGCCTATAATTGCAAATTGTTTCTTACCCCAACTTCTTCACAATTTTAATATCTCTGAGGTCCACACTGCTCGCTGTAGATGGGTCAATCACCTTCATCACTGCATCCACACTCATGGGAGAAAGTAAACTGGAATACTGACACACAACCTAAGAGATTTGATGATGGAAGGGGGAAAAAAAAATAAAAATAATCAGTGATGTGTGATTTAACACTTACCATCAACAGGTAGGAGTTTCTCACTGTATTTTAGTTTGACTTGATAATTTTGGAAAAACAAAACTCCCCTCCCTGTCCATCAGACAGGTACCTCAACATGGTGTCTCCTTTCCTCTACATGGAAACATTAAGAGCAGCTTCACTGGTGGAAAGAAATAAGCTCATGGACTTTGGGAAACAAATGTGACTTTATTTCTGTAACTCTTAAAATAATCCTGTTGAGAGTTCTGCCAGAATGAAAATGCACTTGTAAAGAAAAGATTGTACAGTGCAAAGGAATTTTATGGAGAAGAGAACAATTTCTGCTTGTTTCAGAGCTATTGCCTCCCTAGGGAAAGTCAAGAGCTCTGAAATACAGGCATTCTAGGATCAAAGTTTGTTCAACAGCCAATTCATCTCCACTTTTTGATGCTGCTTTAGGAACTTCTGCCTCACAATTAAAAACTGCCTACATGAAAAGCTGGTGAAAGCTCTCCCCACCCAACTGTTCTTTCTGTTACTGTTTTCATCTTAAGTTTGTGTATGTATTTTACACCTGGCAGTTAATGTTTGGGATCACCAACTGTTTCAAATTGAAATTCTGCTTCAGTGTGTCAACTCAATCTTGATCAGCCATAGCTTTTTAAGAAGTCAGTTTAACATAATGCAGCCACCGTCTCAAAAGCAAGTAGATTTGAGATGTGCAGGATTCTTAGTAAGCAAACAGCAGCACAAACTGGGAAAAGCTGGAAGGGTCAGTTTGTCTGGAGGCATCAAGTTCACATCAGCCATACCTTTGAGTTCAGTGAAGTAGTTGCACTGTTCAGCAGGGTTTCCCTGTCGCTCAGTTCAACTGGCTGTGCCATGTTGGTCAATACTTCAATGCCTTTCTCCAAAGCTTTCTGGAATGACTCTGAAATGATGGTGGGGTGAATTCCTGTGAATGATATAGAAGGTTGTTAGGTCATCCTTGCAAACCAAAGGTCTTTCCCCCTCTCCCCAAACCAGTCTTACTACTCAACTACAGAATCACCCGCTTAAAGTTTAGTTTATCATCTTAACTCTCTGCCCATAAGAAGTATAATCTGGGTGAGTTTTTATAAGGCAACATTTACCATCTCATTTAGTTACTATTTTCAGTATTGACGGTGCTGCAATCAGCTCAAAATAAAAGCTAAGCAGTGAGAATCTTAATCAGAAGTGGGACATGAGCAAAGCCTCAAGTTACCTTTTCATGTTATCTTCTCATTTAACAGCTGCTTTGAGC